GATGGGTGGGGACATACCTAAGAAATAATAGCCCCCGGGAGCCCCGAGCAACAGCTCCCCAGCCTGAAAGGGAAGGCCGGAGGTGAGAGGGCGCCCGGTGGGAGGGCGGTCCCCACGCTCTTCCCACTCACGACTCGCCTGGGTGACCGCCGAGCTGAAGCCCGCTTCGCAGTAGCGCCTTATTTTATTTCAGAGCATCATGGGCTACAAAAAATTACCTCGGGGGCCACCAGTTTGGCAGCCCTGCTATAAAGCTTTATAGAAGCAGACAGCCTCATCTTTCTCCCTCAGGCCAGCTGGTGGTTTCAAACAGCTGATCTCAGTTAGGGGCCCAAAGCTTAACCCACTTTGCCTCTGTCTCTACTCACCACCCTCCCCCACCCCTGCAATCCTAAGATGGCTGTCCTTCATGACCTCCACCTTTCTCCAGTTTATTTTAGCCACTGTGCCCTCTCCCCGCCCCTCCTGATTCCTGGTGTCTCTGTGACTCTCGTGGGTCTCCTCCCAGACTTGCCCTGCTATGAGTCCCCTAAATGGTCCTGTCCCCGGTCACTGCTCATTTCACCGGCTCCTCTCTTATGGAACTGGGGTCAGCCACACACAACCGCTCTCTGGGCATTTCGATCATGCCCCGCAGGCCTGGGGCAAGGGCACCGATCGTGCCCCGTCAAGCTCTTGAAGCTGAACTGCTGATCTCTCCCCAGCCCAGACTTGCTGCATGGCAGGATTTCCCTGAGCTCCTGGGGGCCACCACCACCCACCCAACTCCACCTGCCTCCAAATAAGGAAGTGCTAAGTGTCTATGCATTAGCCTTACCTTGAACTCCACCATCAAATCCAACCCGTCTCAGCCTAATGGGCCTCCTTTAACCACCCAACCTACTCCCCGCTCAGCGAGTCTCTGCGCCACCTATTGGTGTGGGGGGGGTGTTACCCTCTGCTTAAAGGTCTCCCTGGCTCCAGCTGCTTTGGGACCCAGGTGCAAGCCCTTCATCTACAGCAAGCGGTGCCCCTTGGCCCTCACCATTGTAGCCATCCTGGTCCAGGTCGCCCAGAGGGGCAATGGCTGAGCCGAATCTTCCATAGAGCTGAGTGCCAGTGAGCAGGAGGCTGGGGGTGCCCAGGGCGTGGGGGTCCCGGGGCTGCAGGTACAAGTACACGCGCCCCACCTCGGCCAACTTGCGGTCGGCTCGGCTGTCCATGTACAGCGGGGCGCCCACCAGTAGGTCGTGCCTCCTGTGGGCATTTGTGTAGGGCTGGCTGAGAGGGATGCTGAGGGCCAGACCACGTGTCACCCGCCCTCATTTCCCACTCCGACCCAGTGGTCACACGGGGTGGGGGCAAGTAAAGGCGATGGGGGGGGGGCCACCTCTCCTGACCCAAATGGGCTGGGGTGATGTGCCCTCTCCTCACCCATCCCCATTGACGTCTGTGACAGCCACTGAATGTCCGAAATACGAAGCCATCTGCAGGAAGGTGAGGAGTGCTGTGACCCGCCCTCTCTCAGACATTGCCCCCCTCTCCCCCCACCCCCATACCTGGGCTCCTGGTCCCACCCAGCCTGGGCCATGCCCACTGGGCAGGTCCCCACCTGCTCTCCATGCAGGTGGTGCAGCCTCTGGTAGTAAGAGTCCAGGATCTCCACCTGCGCGGGAAAAGCACAGAGGGTGCCAGCCCTCTGGTGTGAGCCCCAGAGGGGCAGGGGCAATGCCGTGCTGAGAATTGGGGGGCGGGCTGAGGTGCTTCAGGTCACTCACCGCTCCCAGGGTCCAGCTCCAGGTGGGGGCCCCGAAGACATATTCTGCAGAAAGGAGGGTCCAGCAAGTGAGGTCGACCTTACTCCCTGTCCCCCATACCGCACCCCAGTGGGGGGTGGGGGTGGCGGAGTCGATTGATTTCGCCCTGGAGCTAGGAGGTCCCCCTTCTTCTGGACTGGGCTCCCCACCCCACAGGTCCAAGGGGTTTTCTTGCCTGTAGTGCCGGAATCCCCATCGAACTCGCCCACAGCTACTGAGTACCCTGAGGACGCAGCAAGAACAAGTCTTTCTAAGAGAGGGTAAGCGGGAGGGAGGGGGCCCGAGGGCGACCCAAGAGGGGGCTCCGAGACCACCCAGGACCCATCCTGTGTGGTCTAGAGAGAGGAACAAGAGGCCGCCGCTAGGAGGGCGAAACCAAGACGGCACATGCGTGAGTGTGCGTGTGTGTGAGTGTGCGTGTGCGTGTGAGACGCTGCCGGGAGGGGGAGAGGAGGCAGGGGGTTGGCGTGGGGACTCGAGACCCTGCGTGGCTGGGAAGCCTATAGAGGTTCGTACTAGGCGTACCCTGGTAGCCGTCGTAGAGCTCTTTGCTACTGGAGTCGAAAGTGAAGCGCTGGGCCGGCACGTGCCACAAGAGGGTGCCCGGACGGTAGTTCGAGACGATCTGGGCGATGGGAGCCCGCGCCAGGAGCCCTAGGGAGCAGGGACAGGGTGTGGGGGCCCTGATGGCCGGGGTGTCCCAGGAATGCGGAGCCCCTTGAAGAGAGGGTGGTGTACAGATGGGTGGGGACATACCTAAGAAATAATA